GGGGGATTTTCTTTTTCTTTTTTTCGTCTGGGGGATTTTAATTAGTATTATATGAGAGGGGATGGGGAGGAAAGAGTCCCATAAACTGTAATGTCCCTTCCCTTTATAGTGCTCTCTGATCTGCTAAGACAGGATTTCAGAATTTAAAAATTTTAAATGGCCTCAATGACATGTAATTCACATACATATAATTCACCCATTTAAATTGTACAATTCAATGGTTGTTATGGTATTCACAGATAAATGCAACTATCACCACAATTTTAAAATATTTCATCACCTCAAGAAGAAACCTAGCATTCCTATCATCCTGTTATTTTTCCATTCCTTGTCCTCAGCCTTAAACAACAACTAATTGACCTTCTGTCTTTATAGATATTCCTATTCTGGATTTTCTCATTAATGGAATAGAATGTAGTCTTCTGGGATTTCTTTCATTTGACATAATGTTTCCATGTATCAATATGTAGCATGTATCACCACTTCATTTCTTTTTATGGCCAAAAATATTCAATTGTATGGAATATACTACATTTTGTTAATCCAATTATTCATTGATGGATGACGGTACTATTGTGAATAATGCTGCTATAAATATTCATGTACAAGTTTCTGTGTGAACATGTGTTTTTACTTCTCTTGATCTATTCTCTAGAGTAGAATCCTGTGTCATATGGTGACCTTCTGTTTAATTGTTTGAGGAACTGACAGACTGTTTTTCAAAGTGGCTGGACTATTTTTACATTACCAGCAGCAGAGTGTCAGGGTTCCAATTTCTCCACAGCCTCATCAACCACTGTTACGTGACTTCAATTCTAGCCATCCTACTGGGTGTGAAGTGGTATCTCATTGTGGTTTTGATTTGCACTTTCTTGATGACTAATGATGTTGAGCATTGTTTCATGTACTTGTTTGCCATTTTTGTATCTTTGGAGAAATATCACTCAGATCCTTTGCCCACTTTTTAACTGGATCGTTTTTCTTGTTATTATTGTGTTGTAAGAGTTATTTATATATTCTAGATACAATTCCTTTATCAGATATGATTTGCAAAAATTTTCTTCCATTCTATGAATTGTCTTTTCACTTTCTCGATAGTATCTTTTGAAACCCAAAAGTTTTCAATTTTGATGACGTCCAACCTATTTTTTTCTTTTAGTGTTTGTACTTTTGGTGTCATATTTAAGAATGCTTCATCAAAGAAGAAGAATTTTTTAATTTTACTTTTTTATTGTGGTAAAATATACTTAAGTTTAGCATTTCAACCTTTTTAAAGTGTACATTTCGGTGGCATTAAGTACATTCACATTGTTGTGCAACCATCACCACTATCCAGCTGCAAAACTTTTTCATCATTCCAAACTGAAACTGTCTGCATTAAACAATAACTCTCTATTCCCTCCCCCTCCCCACCCCCAGTCCCTGGTAAACACTTCTACTTTCTGTCTATATGCATTTGACTACTCTAGGTACCTCATATAAGTAGAATCATGCAATATTTGTCCTTTTTATCTGGCTTATTTCACTTAGCATAATGTCTTCAAGGATAATCCATGCTGTAGCATACATCACAATTTCCTTATTTTTTAAAGCTAGACAATATTCCAATGTATGCATATACATTTTGTTGATTAACTCATCTCTTGAACATTTGGGTTATTTCCACCTTTTGGCTATTTTGAATAATGCTACTATGAACACTATTGTACAAATATCTGTTCAAGTGCCTGCTTTCAATTCTTTTGTGTCTAAACACCAAAGTATAATTGCTGGATCAAATGGCAAATCAATGTTTACTTTTTTGAGGAACCGCAAGATCACTGGGATTTATGCCTATATTTTCTTCTCAGAGTTTTATAGTTTTTGCTTTTATGTTTAGGTCTTTGATCCACTTTGAGTGAATTTATATTTATGGTGTGAGGTAAAGTTCTAACTTCATTCTTTTACATGTGATTATCCAGTTGTCCCATCACCATTGTTGAAAAGGCTATCTTTCCCCACTGAATGGTGTTGGCACCCTTGCAAAGAATCAGTTGACCATAGATGTATGAGATTATTTCTGGACTCCCTATCCATTACACTGATCTATATATCTGTCTTGGTGCTAGTAAGTTTTAAAACTGGAAGTGTGAGTCTCCTGACTTTATTCAAGATTTTTCAGGATTGTTTTGGCTATTCTGATTCCTTTGAAATTCCGTGTGAATTAGAATCAGCTCATCAATTTGTATAAAGAAGTCGGCTGGGATTCTGATAGGGATTACACTGAATCTATAGATCAGTTTGGGGAGTACTGTTATCTTAACAATATTAAGTCTTTTGGTCCATGAACATGGGCTTATCTTCGCGGTTAGGGTTTTTTTTTTTTTTTTTTTTTTTGGTATTCATATTCTTTTTTTTTTTTTCATTTTTTTATTCTTATGTTAATCCCCATACATTACAACATTAGTTTTAGATGAAGTGTTCCATGATTCATTGTTTGTGCATAACACCCAGTGCTCCATGCAGAATGTGCCCTCCTCAATACCCACCACCAGGCTAACCCATCCTCCCACCCCCCTCCCCTCTAGAACCCTGTTTGTTTTTCAGAGTCCATCGTCTCTCATGGTTCGTCTACCCCTCCTATTTCCCCCGCTTCATTCTTCCCCTCCCGCTACCTTCTTCTTCTTCTTTTTTTTTTCCTTAACATATATTGCATTATTTGTTTCAGAGGTACAGATCTGAGATTCAACAGTCTTGCACAATTCACAGCGCTTACCAGAGCACATACCCTCCCCAGTGTCTATCACCCAGTCCCCCCATCCCTCCCACCCCAACCCCCACTCCAACAACACTCAGTTTGTTTCCTGCGATTAAGAATTCCTCATATCAGTGAGATCATATGATACATGTCTTTCTCTGTTTGACTTATTTCACTCAACATAATACCCTCCAGTTCCATCCACGTCGTTGCAAATGGCGGTTAGGGTTTTATTTTTAAGATTTTATTTATTTATTTATTTATTTATTTATTTATTTAAGAGAGTGCATGCAAGACAGGAGAGGAGCAGAGGGAGAGGGACAAGCAGACTCTGTGATGAGCTCAGAGCCCAATCCCACGTTCTTGAGACCATGACGTGAGCCGAAATCAAGAGTCAGACATTTAACCGACTGAGCCACCCAGGCGCCCTGGTGGTTAGTTTTATAAAATTATTCATTTAATCTTTTTACTTATTATAGGTCTATTCAGATGGCTGATTTCTAGCTTGAGTCAGATTCAGTAGTTTGTGTGCCACCACACTCCAAAATACATTCCCCTTTTCACCATTTGTTTGGCAAATAGTTGCTCATAGCATTCCTTTATAATCCTTTTTATATCTGTAAAATTGGTAGTAATGTCCCACTTTCATTTCTGATTCTAGTAATTTGAGGCTTCTCTTTTTCCTTTGTCAAACTAGTTAAAGTTTCACCAGTTATGTTAATCTTTACAAAGAGCCAGATTTTTGTTTCTGATTTTTGTTTTTCTATTCTTTATTTCATTTTTTTCTGCTCTAATCTTTATTATTTCCTTTCTTCTACTTATAGATTTAGTTTGTTCTGTTTTCTCCAGTGTTTTAAGGTTGAGGGTTAGATTATTGATTTGAGATCTTCCCCCCACCACTCCCCGCCCTGTAGTATAGTCATTTACAGATATAGATTTGTCTCTGAGCACTGCTTTAGCTGCATCTCATAGGTCATTGTGCCTTGACTTTTATTCAGTGTTAAATATTTTCTGATTTTCCATTTGATTTCTTCTTTGATATTTAGGGCAACTAAATCATTTAGAATATATACACTTATGTTTCCACTTCTATTTCCATACTTTGATTATTCATGAAATTTTTAACATGCACATTAAACATTCATGTGTAACAATGTCTCATACCATCACTTGAAAAATAAAAGAATATCAGAACATTACTTCTGATCATTTTCCTCCAAAATTCCATGCTATTGCTATCCAATATTTTTACTTTCATCCTTGTTTTTAACATCACAAATTAATGTTGTTCTTGTTATACCAACAATTTTTAAAACTGTATTTACATATTTGTATATGTATTACATATTATATAATATATAATATATTATATAATAATACATATTATATAATAATACATATTATATAATAATATGTATTACATATTATTATTTTGCTCATTACTCTTCCTAAAGTATATCCTTTTAGAATTTGCTTTAGTAAAAGCATGATAAAGGTAAACTCTTAATTTTTGTTTTATCTAAAAATGTCTATTTTCATTCTTGAAAGATGGTGAGCTGGGTGGGTTAACAATTACTCTTTAAGCATTTACAGATATTATTTCATGAATTTTTATTCACTTAATATATTTTACTCATTATTATTACATAATTATAATTATTTGCAATGAATAAAAATCAATATACCAAAACTTTTTGTAATAATTATAAATTATGTTATAATAATATTCTTATTTCATTAATTTTATTTCTTATGGAGTATCACTCTTTTCTATCTTCCTGATTTTAAGATCAGGAAGATCTTAAAATTTTTAGTTTTAGTCTTTTTTATTCTGCAATTTCACTCTGACGTGTTTAGGTATTTCATCAGTCTTAGAAAAGTCTTGCCAAATATTCCCTTTGTTCTGTTTTCCTAAATCTTTTCTGGGACTCTAATTAGGCTTACTTTAGATCTCATTCTGTCCTTCACTTCTAATTATTTTAAATTTAAAATGTCTTTCCACATAAAAAAATCTTCATTGTTTCCACCGGTCCATAGCTTGGGAAAGTGTCTGGGGAGTGTAGAAGTAACTGTTCTGGTGACAAGAGCAGAAGTTCAGGTGGAATCCCCAAGGCCAGGGACTGAAGCAGTGCCCCTTGAGGGCCATTGCACTCAGGAGGTCTCTAATCATGCTTGAGAGTGGGTCTTTCTTTCTTTTTTTTTTTTTTTAAGATTTTATTTATTTATTTGAGAGAGAGAGAATGAGAGACAGAGAGCACGAGAGGAAAGAGGATCAGAGGGAGAAGCAGACCCCCCGCCGAGCAGGGAGCCTGATGCGGGACTCGATCCCGCGACTCCAGGATCATGACCTGAGCCGAAGGCAGTCGCTTAACCAACTGAGCCACCCAGGCGCCTGAGAGTGGGTCTTTCAAAGAGATACTACCCAAGCCTGTCCTGTGGAGAGTGGTCAGGTGGAAGCCCATTTTCTGGATGAATTTCATGGCTTGCTTTAGAAAGTGGTTTTTCATGAATTCACAGATATGAGGGGCTGTACTGGCAGAGCCCAGAAAAAGCAGATCTAGTAGGGCTAGCTTCAGTTTCTTTTCTAGAACCACGCAAGCCTCCAACGCATCCAACACATAACCTGACTCATATTAAGATGACTCCTGAGATGACTCGTATTCTCAAAGAAGGCACTGTCAACACACTGGTTTTGCCCGGAGGCAGTTGGTGCTTTGTGTTTCTTCCTTTCCAACTCACAGATGACACACACCCTTTAATGCCACACTGTTTCGGTTAAAATAATAGCAGAGAGAGGGATAGGTGTTATAGGTTTACAAATGCAGGTTGGCCAGGTAGTAGATAGTGGCCTTGGCCTCATTTCAATAATTCTGAAGGATCTGGTGCCTTTTTTGGATACAAGGCACTGACCACAAAATACAGTGTTACTAGTGCTATTAGTCTATTCTTTTGCCAATACCACACTATTTTGATTACTGTACTTATAGTAAGACTTGAAATCAAGCAATGTCAGTCTGCTGATATTGCTCTTCTTGTTCAGTAATGTGTTAGTTATTCTTGGTCTTCTGCTTTCCATATAAACTTTAGAATCAGTTTGTCTATATCCAAAAATAACTTGGCTGGGATTTTGATTGAGATTGTGTTGAATCTATAGATCAAATTATGTCATCTTAAATATAGTCTTCCTATCCATGAGCATGGAATATCTCTCCTTTCATTTAGATTGTCTTTGTTTCATCCAAGTTTTGTAGTTTTCCTCAGATAGATCTTGTACATATTTTGAGACTTATACCTAAGTATTTTATTTTGGGGGTGCCAATAGAAATGGTATTGTTTTAATTTCACATTCCAGTTGTTTATTGCTGGCATATAGCAAAGCAATTGATGTTTGTATATTAACGTTCTATCCTGCAACCTATATATTAACTTTCTATTCTGCAACCTATCCTGCAAGTTTTTTAGTTCCAGGAGGTTTTCTGTGTTTGTGTGTGTGAGAGGTTGATTGTTCGTTCTGTCATTTCTTTGGGATTTTCTACGTAGATAATTGTGTCATTGGGAACAAAATCAGTTTTTTCTACCTTCCTGATATATATATATACACACATACCTTTTACTGCCACGTTGCATTAAATAGAACTTCCAGTATGATGTGGCATAAAAGTGGTGAGAGGAGAGATCCTTGCCTTGTTCCTGATCTTAGCAAGAAATTTCCTCAACACTAAGTATGCTATTAATTGTAGATTTTTGTTGTTTTATTGAGTCAAGTTCCCCTGTATTGAGAATGTTCATCTGGAATGTGTCTTGAGTTTTATCCAATTTTTTTCATGCATCTATTGATATGACCATATGACTTTTCTTGTTTAGTCTGTTGATGTGATAGATTACATTGAACCAGGCTTGCAAACCTGGGATAAATCTCACCTGGTCATGGTCTAATTCTTTATTGCTGAATTCTATTTGCCAATACTTAAGAGGATTTTTGCATCTATATTCATGAAGAATATTGGTTTGTAATTCTGTTTGTGTTTTTACTGTCTTTGTCTGGTTTTGGTATCAAGGTAATAAAATCAATTGGGGAGTTTCCCTCCTCTATTTTCAGGAAGATATTTTATAGGCATGGTGTTAATTCACCCTTAAACAGTTGGTAGAATTCTCTAGTGAAACCATTTGGATGTTAAGATTGCTTTGTTAGAGGTATAAAATTATAAATTCAATTCCCTTAATAGTTACATGGTTATTCAAGTAATATATTTCATATTGGATGAGTTCTAGTGGTTGTATTTTTTGAGGAACTGTTCCATTTAAGCTAAGTTATCAAATATAAGTGTAGATTGTATGCAGTATTCTATTATTATTATCCTTTTAATGTCTGCTGGATCTGTAGTGATAGCCCTTATTTCATTCTTCGTATTTGAGTATTCTCTATTTCTTTCTTCCAGTTTTGTGAGAGGATTGTCAATTTTATTGATCATTTCAAAAAACCAGCTTTTTGCTTCATTTGAGTTTCTCTATTGATTTTTGGTCTATTTCATTCAATTCTGCTCTTTATTAATTTTTGCATTCTGCTTGAGTTTACGTTGTTTTCCCTTAATTTCTTGGAGCTTAGATCGATTTGAGATCTTTCCCTTTTTATAATGTATGCATTTAGTGACTTGAATTTCCTATCAGTACTGCTTTAGTTGTGTCCCACAAATTCCATTTTTATTTTCATTCAGTTCAACATATTTATATTTTTCTTTTTAAATTTCCCTTGAGAGTTGAACTCATGGATCATTTAGAAGTGTGGTTAGTTTCTAAGTGTTTGGAATTTTCCTTTCATCTTTGTTATTGATTTCTAGTTGATTTCATTGCATCAGAGGACACAGTTTATGTGATTTAAGTTCTTTTAAATTTCTTGAGGTTTGATTTATGGCCTAGGAATGTTCTTAGTATACGTTCCATAGGTACTTGAAAATACTGTGTATCTGTGTCATTTAGATCTTGTTGATTGATGGAATAATGTAGTTGAGTTCTATATCTTTGCTGATTTTCTTTCAAATTGCTCTATCAACTGTTGAAGTCACTAACTGTAATTGTAGATTTGTCAATTTCCCTTCATTTGTTGTTTTTTTTAAAGATTTTATTTATTTATTTGAGAGAGAATGAGAGACAGAGAGCACGAGAGGGAAGAGGACAGAGGGAGAAGCAGACCCCCTGCCGAGCAGGGAGCCCGATGCGGGACTCGATCCTGGGACTCCAGGATCATGACCTGAGCCGAAGGCAGTCGCTTAACCCACTGAGCCACCCAGGCGCCCCTTCATTTGTTTTTTTAAAAAAGATTTATTTATGAGAGAGAGCGCGAACTGGGGGGGAGGAACAGAGGGAAAGGGAGAGAATCACAAGCAGATTCCCTGCCGATCCCATGACCCTTGAGATCATGACCTGAGCTGAAATCAAGAATCAGACAATTAACTGACTGAACCACCCATGCATCCCTATTTCCCTTCATTTCTATCAGTTTTTTTCCACATATTTAAGAAAAATTTTTTAAGATTTTATTTTTATTTATTGAGACAGAGATAGCAACAGAGATCACGAGCAGGAGAAGCAGACTCCTGCTGAGCAGGGAGCCAGACGTAGGGCTCGATCCCAGGACCCCAGGATCATTACCTGAGCTGAAGGCAGATGCTTAACCAACGGAGCCACCCAGGTGCCCCTTTTTCATATATTTTGTGCATAAATGTTTAGGATTGCAGTCTTCTTAGTGGACTGGCATTTTTATCATTATGTCATAGTCCTCTCTGTCCCTAATATTCTTTCCTCTAAAGTCAACTTTGCTATTAATATAGCCACATCTGCTTTCTTTTGTTTGCAAGGTGAGTCTTGTATTCCATCCTTTTAACTTTCAACCTACCTACATCATAGTATATGAAGTGAGTTTCTTATACACAACCCATCGTTCATAGTGTTGGGTCATATATTTTTTTATCCACTCTGTCAATCTTTTTTATATTTAATGCCTTTATAATTAATGTAACTATGATGTATTAGTGTTTAAGTCTGCCATTATTTTTTTATTTTCTGGTAGTTCTCTATGTTTAACTTTTTTTTTTTCCTTTTCTTGCCTATCTGTAGTTTAATTGAATATTTTTTTAAATTCCATTTTGATATATCTATAATATTTTTGAGTATACTTCTTTATCTAGTCTTTTAGAGTAGTTGCTCTAGTATGTACATTATAAATTTATAACTTATCCAAGTTTATTGGTGTCACCATTCTACCAGTTTGAATGAACTATAAAAACTTTATCTCTATACTCCTTTACCCTTCCATTTCTAATTGTCTTTTTTATTAAGATTTTATTTATTCACTTGAGACAGAGGAATAGAGAGAGAGAGCATGAGCAGGGGAGAGGCAGAGGGAGAGGGAGAAGCAGACTTCCCGCTGAGCAGGGAGCTGGACATGGGGCTCAATCCCAGGACCCTGAGATCATGACGTGAGCTGAAGGCAGATGCTTAACCATCTGAGCCACCCAGGCGCCCCCATTTCTAATTGTATTATTCTCTCTACCTACATTGAAAATCACAATGGATAGGTTTTTTTGTTTTGCTTTAACAAACCTGAGAAAACTTAAGAAAAGTGTGTTCTATTTATCCCTATTTTTACTTTCTGTTCTTCCTTCCTGATGTTCCAAGATCCTTCTTTTATCATTTCCTTTGTGTTTCAAGAACTTCCTTTAGTCATTCTTTGAGGGGAGATCTGCTGGAGATAAATTCTCTTAGTTTACCTTCATCTGAGAATGTCTTGGTTTCTCCTTCATTACTGTAGCATATTTTTGTTGGATATAGAATTCTGCATCAACAGTTCTTTTCTTTCACTTAAAAAGTGTTGTGCAACTTCCTTCTGGCTTTTGTTGTGCCTGGTGAGAAATTCATTGTCATTTGAGTTGTGTATGTCTTACACATTATGTGTCATTTGTTGCTGCTTTCAAGACTTTTTGTTTTTCTTTGGTTTTCAGACATTTCAGACATTCATTCAGACTATGACATGTTTTGGTGTGGATATGGGGGTTTAATCCTGTTTGGAGTTCACTGAGCTTCCTAGATCTATTGCAAAATCTGGAATATTTTTAGAAATTATTTCTTCGAATTTTATTTCAGCCTCCACCTCTTCCTCTTCTCCTTCTGGAAATCCAATGTCATGAATGTTAGATCATTTGTTATAGTCTCAAATGTCCCTGGGGCTCTATTTATTATTTTCAATTTTCTGTTGTTCAGAGTGGCTAATTTCTATAGTTATATCATCAAATTCACTGATTCTTCCCTCTATTTTATTTTGCTGCTCAGCTCATCCATGGAGTGTTCTCTTTTTTAATTTTAATTTGTTATTTTATTTTTTGGTTCTAGAAATTCCATTTGGTTTTTCTTGTATCTTCTATTTTTTTGTTGCAACTTTCTATTTCCTTGCTGATACTTTCTTTTTCATTTATATCAAGTGTTTATATTTGTTAGAGCATTTTTAAGACAGCTGTTTCAAAATCCTTACCAGAAAATTCCAAAGATTTATTTATTTTAGAGAGAAAGTATGAGCAGGGGGAGGTGGACAGGGAGAGGATCTCAAGCAGACTTTGCGCTGAGCACAGAGCCTGATGTGGAGGTCAATTTCATGACCCTGAGATCATGACCTGAGCAGAAATCAAGAGTCAGACGCTTACCTCTGAAACAAATAATGCAATATATGTTAAGAAAAAAAAAAAGAAGAAGAAGGTAGCGGGAGGGGAAGAATGAAGCGGGGGAAATCGGAGGGGTAGACGAACCATGAGAGATGATGGACTCTGAAAAACAAACTGCGGGTTCTAGAGGGGAGGGGGGTGGGAGGATGGGTTAGCCTGGTGGTGGGTATTGAGGAGGGCACATTCTGCATGGAGCACTGGGTGTTATGCACAATGAATCATGGAACACTACATCTAAAACTAATGATGTAATGTATGGGGATTAACATAAGAATAATAAAAAAAAAAAAGAGTCAGACGCTTAACCAACTGAGCCACTCAGGTGCCCCTTTACCAGAAAATTCTATTATCTGTATGATGCAGTTGTCTTTTGCCATTCAATCTGAGATCTTCCTGGTCCTTGGAATGGTAAGTGATGATCATTGAAAGTTGAACATTTTGGATATCACGAGATTCTGGATCTCATTAAATCTTGTGTTTTAGCACTCCTCCTCTGATACCTATTGTAGCTGGCCTCTGTTACCATTCCACCTGGGGAGCAAGACACTGCCTCATTACAACTAGGGGAAGATGGAAGTTCAGGTTCTCCTCTCTGCTTTGAATGACATATAAGAGGAGGGAGGCTCCTTGGCACTGCTGGGTAGAAGCTGGAGTTCAGGCTCCATCATAGGCTGTGGTGACAATTCTGGCTTAGAAGGGGAACACCTTGTTACTCTTCCCCATGTATCTTCCACTGACAATGCAAAATGGTGGATGAAATGTGTGAGTGGCCTCAGTTCTGTGGAGCAGTGATAAAAAGTCCTGACTCTGTCAGGCTTATTTGAGTCACTTAACGTGAAGGGGGAGGGCACCTAACAGCAAAGGGAAAAGAACCTCTGTACAACCCACATAATTGTTCAAAACTGTCATGAGATGGTAATCCTACATTTAAAATAAACAGGAAAAATAAAATCAGTTATCAGGTGAACATAGCAATTTTGGTTTTCTTGTATGGGAAACCTGCTCTGGAGGCTCAGTAGATCTGTGTGGGAATCTGGTGAGGGGCAACAAAGGGCACTCTGTCACAGGCACAGAGAACAGCAGTGGGTCAGTGGATTTTAGTTTGTTCCAATAAGTATCACACTGGGACCCCCTTATAGCCCCCTAACAAGAACAGGATTAAATATTTGAGCTCAACTGCCAGCAATGGCTGGTCTTTCCCTTACTTCCAAAAGCAAAGAATTAGGGAAGATCCACAAGGTTAAATGAAGAAAGTACAGGCCTTCTACACTTTACTTATCTTTAAAGGAGACAAACTAGGATTTAGGTTTTCCTCATATCAGAAAAAAAGTCATGAACACGAAGCTACACAGATCGGAAAAGACAGGAAAAAAAAAAGCAGGTGAGAATCTGTACACAACTGCTTCTCTTCCTATTGAAGTTTTAAAGAATGTAACCCAACTACTTCTTTGCTCCCTCATATTCTTGCATTGGGACAGCTTAATCAAAATTCGGTTTCCAAAGCAATAAATACTGGTTAAATACCTGGCATAGCAGTCATGAAGCCTGGTTAGATCTCCTTTTCAATCTCCCCTTTAAGTACCAATTTGGCTCTGCCTGCCCTTAATGTCACTTCAATCAGCAAGAAAAGAAATAATTTGGGGCACCTGGGTGGGTCAGTCAGTTAAGCGTCTGCCTTCGGCTCAGGTCATGATCCCAGGGTCCTGGGATCGAGTCCCTCATCGGGCTCCTTGCTCTGCTTCTCCCTCTCCTCCCTGCTTGTGCTCTCTCACTGTCTCTCCTCTCTCTCTCAAATAAATAAATAAAATCTTAAAAAAAAAAAAAAGAAAGAAAGAATTCTCTCAGAGACATTTTAATGTACCCCACTGATAACTAGTCATTCATTATGAAGAATACCTTATAGTAGGAACTTGGTAGAGAACAACAGTGTCAGAGCCTTTGTTCTATCAGGTCTCCTCCAGAGATGACAGAGTAAGTCTCCTTTCACAAGGAACTTCTGGAGGTTCAGATGGTATTCCCTAACCTCTGGGTATCGTTAGCCCATTAGAAAAATGAGCTAAAAGCAATGTCCACAATAGCCAAACTGTGGAAAGAGCCAAGATGTCCATTGACAGATGAATGGATAAAGAAGATGTGGTGTGTACACACACACACACACACACACACACACAGGAATATTATGCAGCCATCAAAAGGAATGAGATCTTGCCATTTGCAACAACGTGGATGGAACTGGAGGGTGTTATGCTGAGCGAAAGAAGTCAATCAGAGCAAGACATGTATCATATGACCTCACTGATATGAGGAATTCTTAATTCCTTAATTCCTCAGGAAACAAACTGAGGGTTGCTGGAGTGGGGGGTGGGGTGGGAGGGATGGGGTGGCTGGGTGACAGACACTGGGGAGGGTATGTGCTATGGTGGGTGCTGTGAATTGTGCAAGACTGTTGAATCACAGATCTGTACCTCTGAAACAAATAATGTAATATATGTTAAGAAAAAAAAAAAAAAAGAAGATAGCAGGAGGGGAAGAATGAAGGGGGGGAAATCGGAGGGGGAGACGAACCATGAGAGACTATGGACTCTGAAAAACAAACTGAGAGTTCTAGAGGGGAGGGGGGTGGGAGGATGGGTTAGCCTGGTGATGGGTATTAAAGAGGGCACGTTCTGCATGGAGCACTGGGTGTTATGCACAAACAATGAATCATGGAACACTATATCAAAAACTAATGATGTAATGTATGGTAATTAACATAACAATAAAAATTTAAAAAAAAAAAGAAAAATGAGCTAAAATATGCAAAGCAACTAGTACAGTACCTAATGTACAGTAGATGCTCCATAAATGTTTCCTGGTCAATTATAACAGTTGACATTTATTGAGCACCAACTATGTGCCAGACCCCACAAGCACTTCTTTATATATAGCATTTCCTAATAAGTGCTAATAGCCCGTTTTATAGATGAGTTAAATAAGGCTCAGAAATTCAGTTTATTTAGAGAATTATCAAGGGATGTGGCTAGCATTTGAAACCAGTTTGTCTGATTTAAAATCTCATATCCTTTCCATTACTCCACATTGCTTCTTTTAACTGTTAAGGGCATTTGAGTGAGCTAGACAGAAAGTGTAAAGCAAGTGAGCTATATTAACCACTTAAGAATTCTAAACTAAAATATTGTTTCATGTCTCAACAGATGAAAGAAGGGAAGGGTAAACAATTTGAAATGAAACAATAAACCCCTAATGGAATAAAAAGATGCTGCTGAATGTTTTAGAACAGACAAATGTTAATTAGATGTCTGATTTTTTCCTCTTTTTACAGAAGGCATTCCTCCTGCCTCAAAAAATGGGCATTATTTCTCTTTATGCTCCATCTGATTAAATTATCCCAATCCTGGAATGTACTGGGACAAAGTAGGCAGGTTTTATTCTTGGAAAACCCTCAAAAGAGAGAGGCACTCAGATAGATGGCCTAGACACTAAGCCTGTTTAGCATTAAGAGTTCAGTCTTAGATTCTATGTTCTGGAATATTAGGCTGGGTGTCTTCTTACCTGGATTTAATGATTTCTCTACCACACGAACCATCCTATACTGTTCATGTAATGTTTTAAAGAACTGTTCACTTAGTCTTGGGGCTGGGTAAGAGGAAAAGATATAGAAACAGAAAAAAGAAATGAAATATAACCATGAATGCTTAACCAAAGCTCCAAATGGGTTGGGACGGAAAGAGAAGACTTTAGTATCAGTAGAAATAAAGCCAGACACCTTGGATTTAGGGAGATGATTAAAAATCTTAGTTACTATGGTAAAGAACTTTGTTAATGACAAGTGGCTGCCATCAGGTGCCAAATTCCATTAACCTCTCAATCTCTACACAAAAAAAGAATTGCAGACATTGGCCATGGCCCCATTTTTTCCTGCCAATACTGACACCAGGAGTTTGGACCATCTATCAAAATTTCTTATTACTAGGATTTAACCTCCAATAGCATTTTCTGACAGCTGACTATAAACTAGAGCTTCAACAGTAAAGTATTATTTTAGAAATATGAATAAATGCTTCACGATTAAACTCTACTCTCAATGCAGAATCAGCTTTTATTTTAACCTCTGAAAGACATTATTGTTTATGTTTGATGCCAGTTTTAAATGGACACAATTGTAAATAAATGATTTTAAACAGAGCTCCTGATTAAACCTAAATCTAATCATTTTCCATAACTCCAGTTTTATTTGGATTTTATGTGCTTGCACACAGACACACTTAAAGAACATATATTTATATTTATAGATAAAATATAGATGATGTGGGAGTTTCTGACAAATGATTTGTTAATTAAAATTTATTAACTATATAACCTTTGAATACCAGAGAAACTTCAATATGTACAAATCAGTATGAGTTCCCAGTTCCTAAACTTTGGTTATATGAATATGCCTCAAGCACCATAGAACAAACAATAATTCTAATTTGAAAACAAACAAAAAAAATCCCAAGAAACGAGAGATCCTGCAACTCTCTTGCATCTTTTCTTTTTTTTTTTAAAACACCATTTGGGGAAACTCTTTTATTATACATTTCCTTCCATTTTGGTCAGTTTCCAAAAACAGTATTAATAAAAATTGATCAGGGAAGAAGGGACTGAGAAACCATTATAGATCAAGGTGCTGTCTTAAAAGAACTGTATCTGGAAATTATTCTGTCTGAAATACAAAATCGTTTTAACCTAGGAGATGTGCATTATGTAACGTCTGAAAAAAATCCTCAACTCTTTATTTTCAAAATTCAAAACTCAACACAATCATAACAAGAGTTGGGGGTGAAAGGCTTACAGGGAAATCTTTAGCAAACCCAGTTAAAAAGTTCTTTGTTTTCAACTTCTTCCCTGGCATCCCTGGCATCTGCTAGCTGCAGAGGCAATGTGCATAATATATAGGCATCAAAAAAGAGATCTGACAGGCTGAGCACAACCTTTCATGGGATTTCACAGGGAATCTGAAGGGCAAAAGAAAGAAAAACCGAAGGATGAAGACTGAAATAGAAAAAATGCAAACAAAATATATTTAAGCCTGTGTAAGTTAGGATGGAGGGGGCTTACATGACAACTGCATGTGTGTGGAAGGGATTGCATCCTTGCCCACAAACTGGATTATATACACATTCATATTAAGTTAAGTCAGTTCGTATATTACACCTGACAAGTCAAACAGGATGTTTCTAGTGAGAGGTGGAAGGAGGTTCTCTATTTACTCAGCTCCTCAGGCCCCAGTCCTTTGTCCTGGCTGGTTGGTGGTCTCTGCACAGAACTCAACAGCATGGTATATGAATGGATAAAGCTTGATGTCTGGTCCAGGGGTGGAACAGTTTCTGCATTCTTCATTGTAATACCGGAGCAACAGCTTATATACTTCTCCTGGAGAGTAAAAGGCCAGATCAATACCCACATTAAGGTATGTAGATGGATAAAATTGCTAGGGAACACTCCAGAAATCTTAATCTATCTTAATCTAACTTAACATGTGCTCACTTTTGGCTTTTGAAAACAGAGCATATTCCTGGAAGGCTTTCCTAATGTAAACTTAAAAAAATTTTTAAGTATCTTAAAAACTACTTATTAGTTCATGATGACAACAGGCCACACATGGTACATCAGCCACGTACCATTTGGGGAGTTTGTGGCAATTTTATTTCTACATTCAGCTCCCAGGGTAGCAAGGCCTTTCAGGTCCAGCTGAAATACAGCAAATGAGCATGCTGTTATGTCTGATAAATGTGACTCAGAGTGAGGCCTCTTAGACTTGAACTCTCCCTCCTTCCTATACCGTCCCTCTTTTATTTTTCTATATGCATGAAAGTAAAAATGGATATTAAATATTAAACTCCAGCTTCTTGGCCTTACTTTAATAAGCTCACATACTCATTCAAGATAGCAGATGAAACTTTGTCAGAAAAAAGATTCTGCAGATGTTGCCCAACTAAGACTGTGTCCACCCTTCTCAAAGTCATGCTTTCATTTTTTCTTATCCACTGTGATCCATCCAGTTTAAACAAGTGTTTGTTTGTCCTGGATGGTGGACAATCTATCTAGATACCAAGTGTCAAGACGATTTCCTACTTACCAACAGTTAGTTTCCTTTCAGTAAGGAAAGTGTGTATGCTGTAAATGTCTCTCATCAATTCTGAGTCCCCAAAGGTGAAATAAACTACATCACGCTCAGCTACAGCAGCTGCCAATATCTGTATTAAGGCTGTAGCAAAGAGAAGAAAAACACAGCTATATTATGACACTTCCCATCAAGACACCTTTAGTTCTTTCAACCAGCTAAATTATAGCTGGTGTGCAATAGCCTTATCCTGGATTAAAGATTTATAAACCAAATACTCGTGTTATTAGAAATGGCAAATACAGATGAGTATAAATCATCTAGTCGTGTGACTTTTCAGACGTGCTCCAAGAATATCAGCAAGCCACAGAATTCCACACAAGCACCTTTGTGGGAACATAAAGGAAGGTACATCTGAGGCAGCAGAGTCAAGGCACTAAGGTGGTATTTTCTTTCACTTATATTAATTTGGAACTAAACGTTTTGTTTGCTTGCTTGATTTGATTATTTTGTCTTATTACATAGTCACCGTCTTTTGTATCACAGGAGTCTCTATGATTTTTCCTAAACAATGCACTTGGGAGGTTCTAATGCTCTCATTAGTCCTACAGCAAGCATTCTCAAAATGGGTTAGCACAACCTTGGCCCTCCTATACTCCCACCGCCACCCAATCACTGCAGCAAGGAGTCAATGTTACTGAACACATCGAATAGTAACTCTGGTATGCTGGAATGCGGAAATCATTGAGAACCACTGTCCCCAGGAATCAAAGTTACAAATCACTGAGCCTGAAATATGTTTCCAAAAATTAAGTTCCTTTATAACCTTAATCTCAATGGACAAAGTTTATTTCATTTTTAAAATTTTTTGAGGACTTTATTATTTTAATTCCAGTGTATTTAACATATAGTGTACAATATAGTGATTCATCAGTTCCATATATTACTCAATGCTCATCAACACAGGTGTACTCTTAAATCCCCTTCACCTATTTCACCCATCCCCTCATCCACCTGCCCTCTGCTAACTGTTTGTTCTCTATAGTTGTGTCTGTTTGTTGGTTTGCCTTTCTTTTTTATCCCCTTTGTTCGTTTTGTTTCTTAAACTCCACATATGAAAAAAAAAAAAAAAAAACTCCACATATGAGTGAAATCATACAGTATTTGTCCTTCTTGACTGGCTTATTTCACTTAGCATTATACTCTCCAGCTCTATCCATGTTGCTGCAAATGGCAAGATTTCATTCTTTTTTTATGGCTAAATAATACATACACACACACACACACATATATGTGGAATATAGATACATCTTTAGCCATCTGTCGATGGACACATGGACTGCTTCCATAGTTTGGCTATTGTAAATAACGCTGATAAAAACAGAGGTGCATATATCCCTTTGAATTAGTGTTTTCGTAGTACGATTACTGGATTGTAGGGTAGTTCTATTTTTAATTTTTTGAGGAACCTCCATACTGTCTTCTACAGTGACTGCACCAGTTTTCATTTCCACCAACAGTGTTTCTTTTATTCCACATCCTCGCCAACACTTGTTTCTTGAGTTTTTGATTTTAGTCATCCTGATAGGTATAGGGTAATATCTCATTATGGTTTTGATTTGCATTTCCTTGATGAGGTTTATGTTGAGCATTTTTTTATATGTCTGTTGGCCATTTGTATGTCTTCTTTGGAGAAAAGTCAATAGACAAATTTATTTTAAATAACAACAAAACTGAACATAGGTATAAACTGAACAAAACAACACAGGTATAATTCTTTGCTAGTTACATATCTTTCACTTCATAAAAAGGAAGGTGGGACTCAAACTAAAACATTATGGAGAATAACTTCAGTATAGTTTTGATTTTTGAGAGCATGTTAATACTCTACATATTCAAAAAATAAAATTAAAACAATAAGAATGGGAATGGAGAGCAATCTATAGCTGAAAGCAAACAAAAACAAATTAGCCTAATTTTATTTCAAAAGAATAACATAACTACACTGAAGGGAAAAGAAAAAAGGAAAAGATGAAAGAAAAAAAATAACTAATCCAAGTAACTTATGAACATAATATATGACTAATATACTGTCAGTCTTGGGCAAGGAGAAAAGAATTACAAACAAATCCCCAATTCTTTTTACTAGGTTTGCTTATCATAGCAGTTCAGGCAAAGCAATTTTGAAACTATTTTTAAATATATTCCAGGATTGAGCAAATGAGTAAAGGTGTTGATATTGTTGGGAGCTGGAGTCCTTACTATAGAAGAGGGGGGCACACAAACCTGGAATGGGGGAATAGAAAAATAACTGGGATGGATTCAAATGGAAGGCACTAGTGTGTACTCACAGACTTGTAAAATACATACATTTCTGTGTGTGTGTGTGTGTGTGCATTCTTAGCTTTGTCTGCTAATGTGCTTTAAAAGAAGACACCCCAGCGGCAGTGAGCACATCTAGTGCCCAGATCTCAGTCTCTAATACCATTCCCCCTTTAAAGGAGATGGATTTCTCAGGGAAATGCCTGATTCCATGGTTAGGATAGGATAGGTACGAGAAAAGCCCAGGATATTTTCTTATACCAGAAAGTAAAAAAAGTGCTCAGGATACAGGAGCCAGTTTGAAGGAGATCCCTAGTCAAGTCTGGGCAAGCTGGGCACCAAAATATTAAATACAGTAATAAATTAAAAACCACTGAAAAAATATCAATTCCCGAGTCCACACTGATAATATATAGTAAATAGAGAAAAGGAAGGAGGGGCTCTTGCTCACAGGAGAAAGTCAAAGACTAAATGGAGGGTGAGACAGCACAGGATAATTCTCTTTTGCAACCATCATGGTAAAGACTGGTTCAGGCAAAAATCACTAAAGGATGCCAAATCTAATGGAAATTTTGTCTTAAAGTGTCTTCCCACAGATGGCTTATTAGCTACAGGGAAGGAAAAAACTATACAGTGGAGAAATCAGACAACACCTTGACTGGGTAACATCACCAATGAGGTCAGATGGCCATCAAGTGCCTCTAGATATTATCACCTATGCGGTTCTCTAACAATGCATAACCTCAACCTAATTATAAGGCAACAGCAGACAAACTCAAGGAACACTGTATTCTTTAAATATGTCAATGTCATGAAAGATTAAAAAAAAAAAAAGGCTATGGAAATACTCCGAATTCAAAAGGAGGCTAAAAGACATGACAACTAAAGGCAATACCTGACCCTAGACCCTGTACTGGAGGGCAAGAAGGCTATAAATGGTTTTATTAGGCCCCCTGACAAAACTGGAACATAGATGATAGAGTAGATAAAAATATTCTATCAATATACATTTATGAGTTTAATAATTTTAATATGTTTATATAAGATTAATATTTTATTCTTAGGAAACACACACTGAAGTATTTAGGAAAAGGGGCATAATGTATATAATTTAAGCTCAAATTGTTCAGAAAAATTGTGCATATGTGTGTTCATATATATACATGTCCATACACACACACACAGTTGTTTCTTTTTCCTTTTGTAACTTTTTGTATATTTGAAACGATGTTCAAATAAAAAGTTTTTAAAAATTATGTAAGAAGGAAAAATATATTTTAGTTGAACTAGTAAATTTGATAGTTGAGTACCCCCCAGTTTGGGAAAGAATCTAAGACATTATAATACATGCGAGATTCTAAAATACCAAAGTATTACCTAATTTCCCAAACCAGTATTTACTGAGTATCCACAACATGTGAGGTACCATGACTAGGCCTCATTAATCTTGCACTGTTGAAAGTAATTAATCTCAAAATAGAGGTAAGTTTTAATTAAATCTGTTCAACCAACTTATACATACATTAAAGCTTCAGTACACTCAATTTTAAAAGGTTCCCAATTAACCTAACCTCTGAAACAAATAATACATTATATGTTAAAAAAAAAAGATAGTAGGAAGAGAAAAATGAAGAGGGGGGAAATCGGAGGGGGAGATGAACCATGAGAGACTATGGACTCTGAGAAACAAACTGAGGGTTGTAGAGGGGAAGGGGGTAGGCAGATGGGTTAGCCTGGTGATGGGTATTAAAGAGGGTACGTATTGAATGGAGCATTGGGTGTTATATGCAAACAATGAATCATGGAACACTACATCAAAAATTAATGATGTAATATATGGTGATTAACATAATAAAATTAAAAATTAAAAAAAAATTTTTAAAAATGGAAAAATGAATTGTCATTTTCCTCTACCAAGAAGTACCATTTCTTTAATGAAAATTTGGCTTTTAAGTATTTCCTATTAAAAAAGAGAAACCCAAAGAAAAGTCCTTTCAGTCTTATTTCCTCCTTATATACAGAAACGCTAGATCACTGGTCATTTGCCACTTAGGAAAATGAGGTATGAATAAAAACATTCAAAATTTATCTCCCTATAGAATATATTTTAAGAATGCTTCACAGGCCATCTTGTTCCTATGGATGGGCTCTTAGAGCTAAGCTTGACACAGCTACCAAAAAGAGGCTGGATCGTAATAAGAGAAACCAACTCACATTACATTTTTAATTTCACATCCATTTCTATTTGGGTACACATTGCAACATAAACATGTGTCAAACAGGTTGGGACTGAAGACAGGAGACCTGAGTTCATTCCTCACCCATCTGCTAGCTCTCTAGATCTATGACTTTGGCCAAGTCACCTAACTCTCTTGCCTGCAATTTTCCTGGCTGTGCTATGAAGGAGTTGGATCAGATGATCCCTTAAGACTCTTTCAGAGTGTAGAATTCCATAATCCCTGCTATAATTTTTCTCCTTGCACTGGATATTAGACTATAAATACACAAAGGAAATTTTCAGAATATAAATTAATCTTAACTCTATATATATCAGTAATCACTAACAAAAGATCATTTTAAACAGAACTGTCTTTAGACCTCACTATCTACGACATCCCCAAGACCTTTGCAAATCTAAAGAATTAAGTCTCAGGATTTAGGTGAATTCTCTTGCATCCCAAGTTAGATGAGAATAAATCACAAATCTAATAGGGTATGTGGAATGGGTCCAAGTATGATATAAAAGCATCAAGTTCTAACTTCAAGCACAACTAGGTGCCAAAATAATCACTTAAATTAACCTGCAGGGAGCTTGGTTTTAA